TCTGATACAGCAACCATCTCTGTGTCTCCATGCTCTGATGTAGCAACCATCTCAGTGTCTCCATGCTCTGATGTAGCAACCATCTCAGTGTCTCCATGCTCTGATGTAGCAACCATCTCAGTGTCTCCATGCTCTGATGTAGCAACCATCTCTGTGTCTCCATGCTCTGATACAGCAACCATCTCTGTGTCTCCATGCTCTGATGCAGCAACCATCTCTGTGTCTCCATGCTCTGATGTAGCAACCATCTCTGTGTCTCCATGCTCTGATGTAGCAACCATCTCTGTGACTCCATGCTCTGATGTAGCAGCCATCTCTGTGTCTCCATGCTCTGATACAGCAACCATCTCTGTGTCTCCATGCTCTGATGTAGCAACCATCTCAGTGTCTCCATGCTCTGATGTAGCAACCATCTCTGTGTCTCCATGCTCTGATGTAGCAACCATCTCTGTGTCTCCATGCTCTGATGTAGCAACCATCTCAGTGTCTCCATGCTCTGATGTAGCAACCATCTCAGTGTCTCCATGCTCTGATACAGCAACCATCTCAGTGTCTCCATGCTCTGATGTAGCAACCATCTCTAAGGCCAGAAGGGCAGAATGTAAGACGGGCCTGTGTGCCCAATTCTTAACCCTTTGAAAATAAAGATTGTTCGTTCGTTCGTTCGTTCGTTCGTTCGTTCGTTCGTTCGTTCGTTCGTTCGTTCGTTCGTTCGATGTAGCAACCATCTCAGTGTCTCCATGCTCTGATGTAGCAACCATCTCTGTGTCTCCATGCTCTGATGTAGCAACCATCTCTGTGTCTCCATGCTCTGATGTAGCAACCATCTCAGTGTCTCCATGCTCTGATGTAGCAACCATCTCAGTGTCTCCATGCTCTGATACAGCAACCATCTCAGTGTCTCCATGCTCTGATGTAGCAACCATCTCTGTGTCTCCATGCTCTGATACAGCAACCATCTCTGTGTCTCCATGCTCTGATACAGCAACCATCTCAGTGTCTCCATGCTCTGATACAGCAACCATCTCAGTGTCTCCATCCTCTGATGTAGCAAACATCTTAATGTCTCCATGCTCTGATGTAGCAACCATCGTAATGTCTCCATGCTCTGATGTAGCAGCCATCTCAGTGTCTCCATCCTCTGGTGTAGCAACCATCTTGATGTCTCCATGCTCTGATACAGCAACCATCTCAGTGTCTCCATGCTCTGATGTAGCAACCATCTCTGTGTCTCCATGCTCTGATGTAGCAGCCATCTCTGTGTCTCCATGCTCTGATACAGCAACCATCTCAGTGTCTCCATGCTCTGATGTAGCAACCATCTCAGTGTCTCCATGCTCTGATGTAGCAGCCATCTCTGTGTCTCCATGCTCTGATGTAGCAACCATCTCAGTGTCTCCATGCTCTGATGTAGCAACCATCTCAGTGTCTCCATGCTCTGATACAGCAACCATCTCAGTGTCTCCATGCTCTGATGTAGCAAACATCTCTGTGTCTCCATGCTCTGATACAGCAACCATCTCAGTGTCTCCATGCTCTGATGCAGCAACCATCTCTGTGTCTCCATGCTCTGATGTAGCAACCATCTCAGTGTCTCCATGCTCTGATACAGCAACCATCTCAATGTCTCCATGCTCTGATACAGCAACCATCTCAATGTCTCCATGCTCTGATATAGCAACCATCTCTGTGTCTACATGCTCTGATGTAGCAACCATCTCAGTATCTCCCTGCTCTGATGTAGCAACCATCTTAATGTCTCCATGCTCTGATGTAGCAGCCATCTCAGTGTCTCCATGCTCTGAGGTAGCAACCATCTCTGTGTCTCCATGCTCTAATGTAGCAACCATCTCTGTGTCTCCATGCTCTGATGTAGCAACCATCTCTGTGTCTCCATGCTCTGATGTAGCAACCATCTCTGTGTCTCCATGCTTTGATGTAGCAACCATCTCAGTGTCTCCATGCTCTGATACAGCAACCATCTCAGTGTCTCCATACTCTGATGTAGCAACCATCTCAGTGTCTCCATGCTCTAATGTAGCAACCATCTCTGTGTCTCCATGCTCTGATGTAGCAACCATCTCTGTGTCTCCATGCTCTGATGTAGCAACCATCTCTGTGTCTCCATGCTTTGATGTAGCAACCATCTCAGTGTCTCCATGCTCTGATACAGCAACCATCTCAGTGTCTCCATACTCTGATGTAGCAACCATCTCAGTGTCTCCATGCTCTGATGTAGCAGCCATCTCTGTGTCTCCATGCTCTGATGTAGCAACCATCTCAGTGTCTCCATGCTCTGATACAGCAACCATCTCAGTGTCTCCATGCTCTGATGTAGCAACCATCTCAGTGTCTCCATGCTCTGATGTAGCAGCCATCTCTGTGTCTCCATGCTCTGATGTAGCAACCATCTTAGTGTCTCCATGCTCTGATACAGCAACCATCTCAGTGTCTCCATGCTCTGATGTAGCAACCATCTCTGTGTCTCCATCCTCTGATGTAGCAGCCATCTCAGTGTCTCCATCCTCTGATGTAGCAACCATCTCTGTGTCTCCATGCTCTGATACAGCAACCATCTCTGTGTCTCCATACTCCGATGTAGCAGCCATCTCAGTGTCTCCATCCTCTGATGTAGCAACCATCTCTGTGTCTCCATGCTCTGATGTAGCAGCCATCTCAGTGTCTCCATCCTCTGATGTAGCAACCATCTCTGTGTCTCCATGCTCTGATACAGCAACCATCTCTGTGTCTCCATGCTCTGATGCAGCAACCATCTCTGTGTCTCCATGCTCTGATGTAGCAGCCATCTCAGTGTCTCCATCCTCTGATGTAGCAGCCATCTCAGTGTCTCCATCCTCTGATGCAGCAACCATCTCTGTGTCTCCATGCTCTGATACAGCAACCATCTCTGTGTCTCCATGCTCTGATGTAGCAGCCATCTCAGTGTCTCCATCCTCTGATGTAGCAACCATCTCTGTGTCTCCATGCTCTGATACAGCAACCATCTCTGTGTCTCCATGCTCTGATGCAGCAACCATCTCTGTGTCTCCATGCTCCGATGTAGCAACCATCTCTGTGTCTCCATGCTCTGATACAGCAACCATCTCTGTGTCTCCATGCTCTGATGCAGCAACCATCTCAGTGTCTCCATGCTCTGATGTAGCAGCCATCTCTGTGTCTCCATGCTCTGATGTAGCAACCATCTCAGTGTCTCCATGCTCTGATACAGCAACCATCTCAGTGTCTCCATGCTCTGATGTAGCAACCATCTCTGTGTCTCCATGCTCTCATGTAGCAACCATCTCTGTGTCTCCATGCTCTGATACAGCAACCATCTCAGTGTCTCCATGCTCTGATGTAGCAACCATCTCTGTGACTCCATGCTCTGATGTAGCAGCCATCTCTGTGTCTCCATGCTCTGATACAGCAACCATCTCAGTGTCTCCATGCTCTGATGTAGCAACCATCTCAGTGTCTCCATGCTCTGATGTAGCAGCCATCTCTGTGTCTCCATGCTCTGATGTAGCAACCATCTCAGTGTCTCCATGCTCTGATACAGCAACCATCTCAGTGTCTCCATGCTCTGATGTAGCAACCATCTCTGTGTCTCCATGCTCTGATACAGCAACCATCTCTGTGTCTCCATGCTCTGATGCAGCAACCATCTCTGTGTCTCCATGCTCTGATACAGCAACCATCTCTGTGTCTCTATGCTCTGATACAGCAACCATCTCAGTGTCTCCATGCTCTGATACAGCAACCATCTCAGTGTCTCCATCCTCTGATGTAGCAAACATCTTAATGTCTCCATGCTCTGATGTAGCAACCATCGTAATGTCTCCATGCTCTGATGTAGCAGCCATCTCAGTGTCTCTATCCTCTGATGTAGCAACCATCTTGATGTCTCCATGCTCTGATACAGCAACCATCTCAGTGTCTCCATGCTCTGATGTAGCAACCATCTCTGTGTCTCCATGCTCTGATGTAGCAGCCATCTCTGTGTCTCCATGCTCTGATACAGCAACCATCTCAGTGTCTCCATGCTCTGATGTAGCAACCATCTCAGTGTCTCCATGCTCTGATGTAGCAGCCATCTCTGTGTCTCCATGCTCTGATGTAGCAACCATCTCAGTGTCTCCATGCTCTGATACAGCAACCATCTCAGTGTCTCCATGCTCTGATGTAGCAACCATCTCAGTGTCTCCATGCTCTGATGAAGCAACCATCTCAGTGTTTCCATGCTCTGATGTAGCAACCATCTCAGTGTTTCCATGCTCTGATGTAGCAACCAACTCAGTGTTTCCATGCTCTGATGTAGCAACCATCTCAGTGTCTCCATGCTCTGATGTAGCAACCATCTCAGTGTTTCCATGCTCTGATGTAGCAACCATCTCAGTTATCTCCATGCTCTGATGTAGCAACCATCTCAGTGTCTCCATGCTCTGATGTAGCAACCATCTCAGTATTTCCATCCTCTGATGTAGCAACCATCTCAGTGTCTCCATGCTCTGATGTAGCAACCATCTCAATATCTCCATTCTCTGATGTAGCAACCATCTCTGTGTCTCCATCCTCTGATGTAGCAACCATCTCAGTGTCTCCATGCTCTGATGTAGCAACCATCTCAGTGTCTCCATGCTCTGATGTAGCAACCATCTCAGTGTCTCCATGCTCTGATGTAGCAACCATCTCAGTATCTCCATCCTCTGATGTAGCAGCCATCTCAGTGTCTCCATCCTCTGATGTAGCAACCATCTCAGTGTCTCCATGCTCTAATGTATCAACCATCTCAGTGTCTCCATGCTTAATCTACCCAGTAGGAGTCGACTTGCAGATCTACTTTTAGTACCCAGTGACTGGTTCCTAGATGCTTTTCCTCGCTAAATACCAATTTCCAACAAGCGTCTGGGAGAATGTTGAAAACAAAGTAAAGTCACATGTAGCATAAAACATTGTCTCTGCTGGGGCTGACTCTCATCTGTTGATCCCACAACTTTCAGCATTCCCTTCAGCTGCCCCGCCTGGTACAGATGCTCTGTCAGCTTCCACCAAGACTGCTCCACCAGCAACAGAGCCAGCAGTGCTGTCTACAGCCGCTCCACCAGCAACAGAGGCAACCATGCTGTCTGCAGCCGCTCCACTAAGACCACCAGTGATGACATCAGCAAGCAGGGACGGGCAGAATGTACATCACATGTTTAGGAATACAGGGGTAACTGGGAGTTTTTGTGAGTTTTCTGAAAGACTCTCCTCTAAACTTTCTTGTCCTATGTGTTCATACTCAGGTCATCTGTGCTGTAAAACTGGCTTGCATCTGAGTGAGGTTGGTGTCTAAGTGAGGCTGGTGTCTAAGTGAGGCTGGCGTCTGAGTGAGGCTGGCATCTGAGTGAGGCTGGCATCTGAGTGAGGCTTGTGTCTGAGTGAGGCTTGTGTCTGATTGAGGCTGGCGTCTGAGTGAGGCTGGCGTCTGATTGAGGCTGGTGTCTGAGTGAGGCTGGTATCTGAGTGAGGCTGGTGTCTGAGTGAGGATGGCATCTGAGTGAGGCTGGTGTCTGCTTGAGGCTGGTGTCTGATTGAGGCTGGCGTCTAAGTGAGGCTGATGTCTGAGTGAGGCTTGTGTCTGAGTGAGGCTTGTGTCTGAGTGAGGCTGGTGTCTGAGTGAGGCTGGCATCTGAGTGAGGCTGGTGTCTGAGTGAGGCTGGCGTCTGAGTGAGGCTGGTGTCTGAGTGAGGCTGGTGTCTGAGTGAGGCTGGCATCTGATTGAGGCTGGTGTCTGAGTGAGGCTGGTGTCTGAGTGAGGCTGGCATCTGATTGAGGCTGGCATCTGATTGAGGCTGGTGTCTGAGTGAGGCTGGCGTCTGAGTGAGGCTTGTGTCTGAGTGAGGCTTGTGTCTGATTGAGGCTGGCATCTGATTAGGCTGGTGTCTGAGTGAGGCTGGTGTCTAAGTGAGGCTGGTGTCTGATTGAGGCTGGTGTCTGATTGAGTCTGGTGTCTGATTGAGGCTGGCGTCTGATTGAGGCTGGCGTCTGAGTGAGGCTGGCATCTGAGTGAGGCTGGCAACTGAGTGAGGCTGGCAACTGAGTGAGGCTTGTGTCTGATTGAGGCTGGTGTCTGAGTGAGGCTGGTGTCTGAGTGAGGCTGGCGTCTGAGTGAGGCTGGCGTCTGATTGAGGCTGGTGTCTGAGTGAGGCTGGTGTCTAAGTGAGGCTGGTGTCTAAGTGAGGCTGGTGTCTGATTGAGGCTGGTGTCTGATTGAGGCTGGTGTCTAAGTGAGGCTGGTGTCCAAGTGAGGCTGGTGTCTAAGTGAGGCTGGTGTCTAAGTGAGGCTGGTGTAGGTAGTTTCTTCCAGCCCATTACTACTGATCTGTACTACACAGCTCTCCTTCCCCTCTCCAAGCTGAGAAACTAGCAGGGTGTACAAGACTGGTATTGGAGCAACTGTCAACTCTTATCAGACAAGCAGTAGGTCCCCTGATCAACATGGGGACAGTAAATACATTTATGATCCCCAAATGTAAAACATGTCCAGCTCATGTCCTGTATGCTTGTTTCTTTTACTGTTTCTATTACATAATGTTACTATTATTTAGAGAACATTTCTAGCATGCTGGATTCCTGTATAAACATAGTTAGAGCCCCCTTGGTCATCCATGTTACAGCAGCACAAACATTGCCATATTCCTGTGCTTGTTGACAGATCCATGATGGTGGGGATGGCCGGTCGGTACAGTACAAGGTCCACTACCACAAGCTGGGCTTGGACACGCTGGAAGAAGAACAGTTTTATTTGGACAATGAAAATGTGGAGTTTCTTCGCATAGGTAGGCTGGCTCGTTCTTGTGTGGCATCATTTAACTTAATGCTTCTATAGTCCCATTTTTTTTAAAAAATAAGCTTGTACTTGTGTTGTATTGGCATTGTCACTAATTGAAGTCAAGGCAATTACCTTGTACTGTTGTTGTATTTGGCACTGTCACTTAGGGAAGTCAAGGCAATTACCTTGTATTGTTGTTGTATTTGGCACTGTCACTAAGGGAAGTCAAGGCAATTACCTTGTATTGTTGTTGTATTTGGCACTATCACTAAGGGAAGTCAAGGCAATCACCTTGTACTGTTGTTGTATTTGGCACTGTCACTAAGGGAAGTCAAGGCAATCACCTTGTACTGTTGTTGTATTTGGCACTGTCACTAAGGGAAGTCAAGGCAATCACCTTGTACTGTTGTTGTATTTGGCACTGTCACTAAGGGAAGTCAAGGCAATCACCTTGTATTGTTGTTGTATTTGGCACTATCACTAAGGGAAGTCAAGGCAATCACCTTGTATTGTTGTTGTATTTGGCACTGTCACTAAGGGAAGTCAAGGCAATCACCTTGTATTGTTGTTGTATTTGGCACTGTCACTAAGGGAAGTTAAGGACACTTTCCTAGCGTTTGGTGCATTGAACATATATTGCTAGACTCATATGTTTATAGTTCAATCAGCATTTGATGTGTGTTATAGGTAACTAGACTCATCTGTTTATAGTTCAATCAGCATTTGATGTGTGTTATAGGTAACTAGACTCATCTGTTTATAGTTCAATCAGCATTTGATGTGTGTTATAGGTAACTAGACTCATCTGTTTATAGTTCAATCAGCATTTGATGTGTGTTATAGGTAACTAGACTCATCTGTTTATAGATCAATCAGCATTTGATGTGTGATATGGGTAACTAGACTCATATGTTTATAGATCAATCAGCATTTGGTGTGTGATATGGGTAACTAGACTCATATGTTTATAGTTCAATCAGCATTTGATGTGTGTTATAGGTAACTAGACTCATCTGTTTATAGATCAATCAGCATTTGATGTGTGATATGGGTAACTAGACTCATATGTTTATAGATCAATCAGCATTTGGTGTGTGATATGGGTAACTAGACTCACATATTTATAGATCAATCAGCATTTGATGTGTGATATGGGTAACTAGACTCATATGTTTATAGATCAATCAGCATTTGATGTGTGATATGGGTAACTAGACTCATATGTTTATAGATCAATCAGCATTTGATGTGTGATATGGGTAACTAGACTCATATGTTTATAGATCAATCAGCATTTGATGTGTGATATGGGTAACTAGACTCACATGTTTATAGATCAATCAGCATTTGATGTGTGATATGGGTAACACCATGCTGGCTGCCTTTACCTCCCAGGACATTATCTAGCACCCATCTTAGGCTGGATCAGCCTCTCAAGAACAGTTTTGAAGAAACCACTATATGGAAGACCTTGGTTCAAACGACTCTCAGCCGAGACTCCTTCTGAGTGGCTCCTTAGGTTCAAATGTCCATCCATAAAGTGTCCTACTGTATGACAGACATGCCTCGCTCAAAGATCCTTTTTTTATGACACAAAGGTTCAAACCTCTGCTGCCAATGGCCACACTCGTCGCAGTGTAATGACCATATAGAAGCGTGGCCACACTCGTCACTCGAATGTGGTTCTGTCGGTGTGACAGCTGACATTGAGAATGTGGTTCTGTCAGTGTGACAGCTGACATTGAGAATGTGGTTCTGCCGGTGTGACAGCTGACATTGAGAATGTGGTTCTGTCGGTGTGACAGCTGACATTGAGAATGTGGTTCTGTCGGTGTGACAGCTGACATTGAGAATGTGGTTCTGTCGGTGTGACAGCTGACATTGAGAATGTGGTTCTGTCGGTGTGTTGGGCAACAACTGTGGAGAGTAAATGAGTCATCATGTCCTGGAGAGAGAATGCTACAACAGTCATCATGGCCTGGAGAGAGAATGCTGCAACAACCATCATGGCCTGGAGAGAGAATGCTGTAACAATCATCATGTCCTGGAGAGAGAATGCTGCAACAGTCATCATGGCCTGGAGAGAGAATGCTGCAACAATCATCATGTCCTGGAGAGAGAGTGCTGCAACAATCATCATGTCCTGGAGAGAGAATGCTGCAACAACCATCATGGCCTGGAGAGAATGCTGCAACAACCATCATGGCCTGGAGAGAGAATGCTGTAACAATCATCATGTCCTGGAGAGAGAATGCTGCAACAATCATCATGTCCTGGAGAGAGAATGCTGCAACAATCATCATGGCCTGGAGAGAGAATGCTGCAACAGTCATCATGGCCTGGAGAGAGAATGCTACAACAGTCATCATGGCCTGGAGAGAGAATGCTGCAACAGTCATCATGGCCTGGAGAGAGAATGCTGCAACAGTCATCATGTCCTGGAGAGAGAATGCTGCAACAGTCATCATGGCCTGGAGAGAGAATGCTGCAACAGTCATCATGTCCTGGAGAGAGAATGCTGCAACAATCATCATGGCCTGGAGAGAGAATGCTGCAACAATCATCATGGCCTGGAGAGAGAATGCTACAACAGTCATCATGGCCTGGAGAGAGAATGCTACAACAGTCATCATGGCCTGGAGAGAGAATGCTGCAACAATCATCATGTCCTGGAGAGAGAATGCTGTAACAATCATCATGGCCTGGAGAGAGAATGCTGTAACAATCATCATGTCCTGGAGAGAGAATGCTACAACAATCATCGTGTCCTGGAGAGAGAATGCTGCAACAATCATCATGGCTGACACTCAGTTCTCAGAAGAAAGGCACGACCAACATAGAATCAGACTGCAACCAGTGGAACTGGAATTCTGTGCTGGCTGCTGAAGATAGGGACACAACACTTATGAGAATGTCCTGAGCATCAGGAGGTTGGATCTTATTGCCACAGTTACCTTTTCAATGACAAATATGTTTCATATGTAGATTATTTGTTTTTCTACTTGAAGATGCCCCTGAAAATCAAAGAACATACGAGCAGCTGGAGATTTTGTACAGAGCTCGAGGCCGAGAGATTGAGGAGCTGACACGGAAAATGGTGGAGAAGGAGGAAGAGAGGAACAAAGAGATAAGAAATTTGAAGCATCGATTGGCTATAGCAAATGGTTTGTTAATTTTTGTTTCTACCTAAAGCTTACAAGTTATTTAAGTATTTATGCACTCACACTTTTGTGCACTAAGAAAATTACTTTTGGATAACCACCACTTCATTGGGGGGGGGGGGGGGTATTATCATGTTGACTGCCCTTTTGTGATGCTTTTTTTAGCTTGGAATTGTGTTGTAATCCTAACCAGTTGAGTATCCCTGCCTGGACAGAGGTTCTCTCAGATGACCACCAGGGTATCAGACAGTGGTTCTCACAGATGACCACTAGGGTAGCAGGCTGTTCTCACAGATGACCACCAGGGTAGCAGACAGAGGTTCTCACAGATGACCACCAGGGTAGCAGACAGAGGTTCTCTCAGATGACCACCAGGGTAGCAGACAGAGGTTCTCTCAGATGACCACCGCTAAGATATGAGATCTCAATGAAGATTATTGTGTGAAGCCTTGGATCTGTGCGGGTGAGATATCAAATCTCAATGAAGATTATTGTGTGAACCCTTGCGTTTGTGTGGATAAGATATCAGATCTCAATGAAGATTATTGTGTGAACCCTTGGGTCTGTGTGGCTAAGATATCAGATATCAAATCTCAAATCAAATCTAAGATATCTAGGTATCAAATCTCAATGAAGATTATTGTGTGAACCCTTGCGTTTGTGTGGATAAGATATCAGATCTCAATGAAGATTATTGTGTGAACCCTTGCGTTTGTGTGGATAAGATATCAGATCTCAATGAAGATTATTGTGTGAACCCTTGGGTCTGTGTGGCTAAGATATCAGATCTGTGTGGCTGAGATTTCAAATCTCAATGAAGATTATTGTGTGAACACTTGGGTCTGTGTGGCTGAGATATCAAATTTCAATGAAGATTATTGTGTGAACCCTTGGATCTGTGCGGGTGAGATATAAAATCTCAATGAAGATTATTGTGTGAACCCTTGGGTCTGTGCGGGTGAGATATAAAATCTCAATGAAGATTATTGTGTGAACACTTGGGTCTGTGTGGGTGAGATATCAAATCTCAATGAAGATTATTGTGTGAACACGTGGGTCTGTGTGGCTGAGATATCAGATCTCAATGAAGATTATTGTGTGAACCCTTGGATCTGTGAGGGTGAGATATCAAATCTCAATGAAGATTATTGTGTGAACCCTTGGATCTGTGCGGGTGAGATATCAAATATCAATGAAGATTATTGTGTGAACCCTCGAGATACATAGTTGCCTAATCTTGTATCTTTGTTTGTTGTCTCCTTAATTTTGTCTGTCTTCTCAGCTGAAAAATGTATTTTTAATATCTGTTTACAGGAGAAGCCGAGGCAGTCAGTGAAAGTCTACGACAGTGTCAGCAACTCTTGCAGCAATCAAAGTCAGATCACTCTGAAGCTTGTGGCAACATTAGAGCCCTGGAGACTCAAGTGTTGTCTCTCCGGAATACAAGAGAGGAGGTTTGTAAAGGCTAAAGTCAAATCTTAACCTCCATAGTCCATGGTAACAGCACTAGTCATGTGGCCTTAAATCCTCAGGCTTAAAGGCCCCTTCCCCCCCCCCCTTTCTACACCAAAAGTGATAAATACTGGCTATAGTTGCAGTTACTTTACTGCCAGAGTAACAAACCAGGATTACTTGAAGGAAGCTAATGAAAGCAGATCAATATATACAGCCATAAAAAAAAGACAAGCACTGTTCTTTGGTCATAACATAAGTGGGGGGGGGGGATATTGTGAAACATGGTAAGATCAACGGTAGAAGAGGGAGAGGCAGACCAGACAGGTGATGATGGACGGTGGCATGGGAGGATAACATTGGTGGAATGGATCCAGACAGGTGATGATGGATGGTGGCATGGGAGGATATCATTGGTGGAACTGATCCAGAGAGGTGATGATGGATGGACGGTGGCATGGGAGGATATCATTGGTGGAACTGATCCAGACAGGTGATGGTGGCATGGGAGGATATCATTGGTGGAACTGATCCAGACAGGTGATGATGGATGGTGGCATGGGAGGATATCATTGGTGGAACTGATCCAGACAGGTGATGATGGGAGGATATCATTGGTGGAACTGATCCAGACAGGTGATGATGGATGGACAGTGGCATGGGAGGATATCATTGGTGGAACTGATCCAGACAGGTGATGATGGATGGTGGCATGGGAGGATATCATTGGTGGAACTGATCCAGACAGGTGATGATGGATGGACGGTGGCATGGGAGGATATCATTGGTGGAACGGATCCAGAGAGGACAAGGGAATGAGGTCTGTTGAGATGCATGAACACCAACACCAGTCAGCAGGGCACATCATGATGATGAGCGGCAGTTATACATAATTGTTCTCCTCCTCCTCTGCCGCCACCTCCTCTCTTTCTTCTACTTCTGCTTCTCCTCTACCTGCTCCTCCTCTTGAAGTACAGAAATGAATGTTCATGACTTGCCGATGTCGGTTCATATTGCTGTTTATTGTTTAAGCTGTCTACATACATCTGTTCTATCTTCTGTTGTGTCTGTCGTTTCGTGCAGGTATTCGAGTGTTATGAGGATTATTTGATGATCATTTCTCAAAGTTGCAAAAGGATCTGTAGTGACATAGCATATGCCTGTGAAGCCATTGGTCTCTATTCAAGCCAGATATTGCAGTCGTGCTGTAAACAGGCACAATGCAGTTACGCTACTTTGACGAACCAAAAGCAGAAGAGTAGCTTGTCTTCTTCACAAAGAGCTAGATTTATGTTCCTCATCAACAACAAGATTTATGTTCCTCACCAACAACAAGATTTATGTTCCTCACCAACAACAAGATTCTTGCATTTGACAAAAAAAAAAAACTGGTTGCATGTGAGTTTTGGTCAAAGGTCTCTTGTATTCCATACTGGTAATAGCTCCAGCCTCTCTTCACAGATTTCTCATGCTGTATCTTGACTTGGTGGCTGTGCTAGTTGTCCTAGTTAGCCTGGGCCTGTCAAGTCTGCTTTGTTAATGTCCAACTGATGAGTCTCCAGCTACTGTATGACCTGATTGACAAGACTAGTAGCCAGTGATGTTTACCATGTGCCCAGCTACTGTATGACCTGATTGACAAGACTAGACGTGCCATCTAGTACCCAGTGACTCTAAGGAGAGGCCAGGATTCTCCATAACTGTCTTGTTTTCTTCCCAGTAATTATGTCACAAATTATATATTGTCTAGTTTTCTTCAGTAATAATGTCACAAGTAACAGATTGTCTTGTTTTCTTCCCAGTAATTATGTCACAAATTATATATTGTCTAGTCTTCTTCAGTAATAATGTCACAAGTAACAGATTGTCTTGTTTTCTTCAGTAATTATGTCACCAATTTCATATTGTCTAGTTTTCTTCAGTAATAATGTCACAGGTAACAGATTGTATTGTTTTCTTCAGTACTAGTGTCACAGGTAACAGATTGTCTTGTTTTCTTCAGTACTAATGTCACAGGTAACAGATTGTCTTGTTTTCTTCAGTACTAGTGTCACAGGTAACAGATTGTCTTGTTTTCTTCAGTACTAGTGTCACAGGTAACAGATTGTCTTGTTTTCTTCAGTACTAATGTCACAGGTAACAGATTGTCTTGTTTTCTTCAGTACTAGTGTCACAAGTAACAGATTGTCTTGTTTTCTTCAGTACTAATGTCACAGGTAACAGATTGTCTTGTTTTCTTCAGTAATAGTGTCACAGGTAACAGATTGTCTTGTTTTCTTCAGTACTAGTGTCACAAGTAACAGATTGTCTTGTTTTCTTCAGTACTAGTGTTCACAGGTAACAGATTGTCTTGTTTTCTTCAGTACTAGTGTCACAGGTAACAGATTGTCTTGTTTTCTTCAGTACTAGTGTCACAGGTAACAGATTGTCTTGTTTTCTTCAGTAATAATGTCACAAGTAACAGATTGTCTTGTTTTCTTCAGTACTAGTGTCACAGGTAACAGATTGTCTTGTTTTCTTCAGTACTAGTGTCACAGGTAACAGATTGTTTTGTTTTCTTCAGTACTAATGTCACAAGTAACAGATTGTTTTGTTTTCTTCAGTACTAGTGTCACAGGTAACAGATTGTCTTGTTTTCTTCAGTACTAATGTCACAGGTAACAGATTGTCTTGTTTTCTTCAGTACTAGTGTCACAAGTAACAGATTGTCTTGTTTTCTTCAGTAATAATGTCACAAGTAACAGATTGTCTTGTTTTCTTCAGTACTAGTGTCACAAGTAACAGATTGTCTTGTTTTCTTCAGTACTAATGTCACAAGTAACAGATTGTCTTGTTTTCTTCAGTACTAGTGTCACAGGTAACAGATTGTCTTTATTTCTTCAGTACTAATGTCACAGGTAACAGATTGTCTTGTTTTCTTCAGTACTAGTGTCACAAGTAACAGATTGTCTTGTTTTCTTCAGTACTAGTGTCACAAGTAACAGATTGTCTTGTTTTCTTCAGTACTAATGTCACAAGTAACAGATTGTCTTGTTTTCTTCAGTACTAATGTCACAAGTAACAGATTGTTTTGTTTTCTTCAGTACTAGTGTCACAAGTAACAGATTGTCTTGTTTTCTTCAGTACTAATGTCACAAGTAACAGATTGTCTTTATTTCTTCAGTACTAATGTCACAGGTAACAGATTGTCTTGTTTTCTTCAGTACTAGTGTCACAAGTAACAGATTGTCTTTTCTTCAGTACTAGTGTCACAAGTAACAGATTGTCTTGTTTTCTTCAGTAATAATGTCACAGGTAACAGATTGTCTTGTTTTCTTCAGTACTAGTGTCACAGGTAACAGATTGTCTTGTTTTCTTCAGTACTAGTGTCACAGGTAACAGATTGTCTTGTTTTCTTCAGTACTAATGTCACAGGTAACAGATTGTCTTGTTTTCTTCAGTACTAGTGTCACAAGTAACAGATTGTCTTGTTTTCTTCAGTAATAATGTCGCAGGTAACAGATTGTCTTGTTTTCTTCAGTACTAGTGTCACAGGTAACAGATTGTCTTGTTTTCTTCAGTACTAGTGTCACAGGTAACAGATTGTCTTGTTTTCTTCAGTACTAGTGTCACAGGTAACAGATTGTCTTGTTTTCTTCAGTAATAATGTCACAAGTAACAGATTGTCTTGTTTTCTTCAGTACTAGTGTCACAGGTAACAGATTGTCTTGTTTTCTTCAGTACTAGTGTCACAGGTAACAGATTGTTTTGTTTTCTTCAGTACTAATGTCACAAGTAACAGATTGTTTTGTTTTCTTCAGTACTAGTGTCACAGGTAACAGATTGTCTTGTTTTCTTCAGTACTAGTGTCACAAGTAACAGATTGTCTTGTTTTCTTCAGTACTAATGTCACAAGTAACAGATTGTCTTTATTTTTTCAGTACTAGTGTCACAGGTAACAGATTGTCTTGTTTTCTTCAGTACTAGTGTCACAGGTAACAGATTGTCTTGTTTTCTTCAGTACTAGTGTCACAGGTAACAGATTGTCTTGTTTTCTTCAGTACTAGTGTCACAGGTAACAGATTGTCTTGTTTTCTTCAGTACTAGTGTCGCAGGTAACAGATTGTCTTGTTTTCTTCAGTACTAGTGTCACAAGTAACAGATTGTCTTGTTTTCTTCAGTAATAATGTCGCAGGTAACAGATTGTCTTGTTTTCTTCAGTACTAGTGTCACAGGTAACAGATTGTCTTGTTTTCTTCAGTACTAATGTCACAAGTAACAGATTGTCTTATTCTCTTCAGTACTAATGTCACAAGTAACAGATTGTCTTGATTTTTTTCAGTAAAAATGTCATGTGTTACAGATTGTCTTGTTTCTCCAATAGTTAATACAGAAACTCCAGACTGCAGAATCCACTATAGAAAACCTGACTCATCACATTGAAGAGCTGAGGAAATCAGAGAGCCTCAGCCGGGTGAGAAATGAGCATGAAGCAGTCATTGCCAGTTTGTCCAGCAGACATGAGAGAGAACTCTTGGTTGTCAAGGAGAATCTGGACATTTGTAAAACCTCTCTGGAACTCAAGGTCAGGGTTGTCTTCTCTTATCTCGATACATGTGCAGTTTTCATTGTGTGAAAGAAAGTTTTTCATTGTCTGAAAGTTTTCATTGTGTGATAGAAAGTTTTTCATTATATGAAAAGAGTTATTCAAAAAACCTTATGGATTTAAATCATTCAATTAATTACATCCCCCTGACACCTTTAAAAACAAATACATGTATTGGGTGACTGATTTCAAGACCCCATCCTCCCTTCCTTCCTTTATTGTCTCCTCAACCCTATCAATCTCCTGCAGTTTCATCGTGATGCCGTTGGAAATGTGTGGTTCACCCCAAGTAGCTGGATCATCATTATTATTACATGCTCTGCCAACTGGCATAGTGTTTATTTAACTCCACAGATCTGGGTCCCTTGTCCTGTGTGTCAGTTCCACTGATGATATCCCTTCATGCAGCCGTCACAA